TGGGAAGGGAAAATAAAGGCGCAATTAAGATAAGGAGGAATTGAATGTTCTGGTGATGTCGCTGGTTGAGACAGCACATCAAACTGTGGGCCCCAGGATCATGTGTGGCTGTGTGGCCGCCGCGGCCAACTTGTGGCCACAAAGGGTTTTGGGCAAATCTGTCAAAGATTGATGAGATGCTTAATTGCCCACTTGCCTCCCCCATTCTCTGCATTTACAAACCGAAACAGAAAAGCTCGGTGAGAACTGAAATCCGGAACAGGAAAAAATCACTGTAAATTCTCTCAGTCTGATTGGAGAGAGAGATTGGAGAAGAAAGCTCGTCTCCCACAGTAGCTGTTCCTCCACCCAAAAGTCAATGATCTGCCTTATCGCTCTTTATTTCTGGTGTCTTGTTCCCTTTGAGTTTGGAGAAGGGGAAAAACTGAAAAACAAGAGATGAAAGACAATTTGAAGTTAGGACCATAATACACTTACACCAAAAAATATACACCATTTGTACACCACAGGTTTGCACAAATATTTCGATGGTTTACACCGACACAAGTGTTTGTGCGTTAATAAAAATTCACACGGACACAAATGTTGATGCATTTAACAAAAATTAGTTTTACACCAACACAAAGTGTTGGTGTAAAACTGCGGGTACAAATTGGGGTACAAAACTTGGGGTACACATAGCATAATCCTTTGAAGTTTCACATTTGATGTCTCCATATTTTAATATGAAAAACGACTAAAGTAAGAATAAAATATTGGAAAATGTATCAAAATGGAAATTTTATATTTTTATTTCTAAAATAAAATTTACTCCGTGAAATTTAATTACAATGTGAATCATGATAATATATACTACGTACTCCTTTCGTCCCGCTATATTCATCCATTTTTGACTTTTGGAACTGTTCATCTAAGCACTTTGACTCATCAAATTCTCTCAATGTGTAAGCCTAAATATAGTCATGTGTGATCTTGTTTGATTTATCTTAACATATAGATTATTAATATATAATTTCTATAATTTTTTAATATACAAATTACAATATAAAATGGATTAAAGAAATGTATTGGATGGTGTGTAAAAATGAAAGTGGACAAATAATCTGGGACGAAGTATTTCGAAAAAATATTGTAAAATATTCATATAAAATGTCATATTACCACAATAAGAACTCATATTTTGGAATAAAAATATGGTGCTCATATTTTGATATTTTCTCTATGTTTTACTTCTATTTAGGGTAATTTTTTATATTAATTCTCCCTCCGCAAAACATTTTCACTTATATACTCCTTATTTTACTTAAAGTATTTTTATTTTATTAAAAGTTCATTTGTATCTCTTACTCCCTCCGTCTTGGAATATTTGTCTATTTTTGACTTTTTTTTGGTTAAAATTGGTAATCTTTGATTCAAAATAAATAAAAATGATATTATATATTGATACAAAAATAGTTTTATTTTATCAAAATTTTTGATTTCAAAAATGATACTGTATTATTTTATCAAATTTTCCAAGATCATCTTTTTTGGAAAAAATGGTGCTTCAAATTTTAGAGAGAATTACCAACATATGTAACAAAAAAAACTCATTCCTGGCAGTGTAAGTCAGACTTTTTTTTCCTGTCAGTGCAGGACGGATTTGGCTAATCCGTTTCAATTTGAAAATTTTAAATGAAACGGATTTGGCTAACCCGTTTTAGGATTTTTATTTACGAAACGGAGTAGCGTACTGCGTTTCACTTTATTTTTTAAAAAAAAAACCCAAACGGAGTAGGCAAATCCGTTTCATATTAAATTAAAGCCAGACGGATTAGCCTACTCCGTCTCGCTATTCGGATAACCCCAACCCTTCCCCTTCCGTCGTCCACTCAAAGCCCTTCCGCCATTCACATCCGCCGACCGACGAGAGAGAGCTCGCCATCCACCGCTCCGCACCGACCGACGAACGAAGGGGAACCGCCGCAAGATCCGACCATCCGAACGAAGGGGAACCGCCGCGAGATCCGACCATCCGAACGGGGCAACCGGAAATCTGAACAGGACAATTCGGATTAGGCTAATCCGTTTCATTGAGGTATTTTTTATTTTTTAGTTAATTTATATATATATTTATTTATTTATGATAATATTTAGAGTTATGTTTTATAAAATTGTAAAGCATTAGGTAGAATTACCAATTTGGGTGAATTTGTTAATTATAATTGATATACTCCGTATATTATTAGTTTGTAATTGCCTAGTTCTGTGCTTGTTTTAAATCACTAAATTCTTTTGTGGTTTGAATGAAGTGCGCTGTTATTAAATGAATAAATTGTTATTCTGTAATATTTGAAGCAAATGGATGTTCACCCGGGACCTATTTCACGAGACGTTTTAGTTCTTGAAGGCGGAGTACATAGATGTGATGCAGTTTGGGCGGACGAAGATTATGCCAAAAAGAGTCTAAAGTGTCATAGGACTTGTTCTAGTATATATCCGAGGACTCTTGTTGCTAATAGACTACCTCGTGTCATAGAGATCTTACGGGATTTTGGATTTTATGGGGTGGAGAAGGTGGGTGGATTACAGTTAGATTGGGCTCTGATTACTTCTTTAGTGGAGAGATGGAGACCCGAGAC